TGTTCTTCCCTTTCTCTGGCTTCTACCCTCGTCTGCGTTCATGGTAATTCAGAACTGGGTTCCGAGATGGGAAGTTCAAGATCTGATTTCCTGCGGAGACTCTCAATTTGTCACTCTGTGACCTTGAATTGTCATCTAAAAGGCTTAACTTGCTCAAATGCACATGTAGTCTTGTCCACGGGCCCAAGAAAGAGCTAAGAGTTAGGTCAGACAAACTGGTGAGCGGCCTATTTACTGATGTCCTGCATTCTGGCTGGGGTGACTGACGTGGGCTACGTGCGGCCCTGTGTGAGTCCCCTTGTTCCAATGGCCCTGAGAGTGCACGAGGTTCCTTTCCTGACCTCAGACCAGCAGAGGGCTGCCTGTCTACTTCTTAAAGGTCTCTAACTGGTGGGGCGAACCCAGAAAAGCAGCCTACAAGATGGAGTCCAAGAGGCTAAGCTGAGGCAGTTCAGCTGACCTAGTTTGCCCAGCCCACATTCTGCCCCGAGTACCTTCCACATTTGTCTAGTTAAGGTTTCACCATGACTGTGAGGAAGTTTATCTCAAAAGACTTCGGGGAAGTAGCAGCACTTAGACAATAAGTATTGAAACATTGTTAAGAGTTAAAAGCTACTTTTATGTCCTTTTCTTTGATGATTATTTTAAAGTTAAAATCTTCTAAGGTTTGTTTCCTTGTATCCCATTATAAGAATTATTAGAATTGTAACTGAGGCAGAACAATCTTGGAGGGGCTACTCTCACCATTCTCCAGAACTGCTGGCCTTCTGACAGTGAAGCCTGGTGGACCTGTCCCCCAACTCTGTATATTGGCTGGACAGTGACAGGTGGCCAGACCCTTTAGTTCAGTAATGGGTGGACTTTTATTTTTCTGAGTATCTGGGCACTCTGGCTACACAATGAATTTAAGATAGAACGCTGTCCAATAAAACTGAGATGACAGAAATGGTCTCTAATCTGCAGTGGCCATTATGGGAACCACTGGCCACTTGGTGACTGAGCACTTGAAACCTGGCTGAGGAGAATGAGGAACTGAATCTTTAGTTTTGGTTGAAATTTAAACAGCCACCCATGGCTAGTGGCTACCACACTGGATAGAGCAGGTAGGAGCTCATAGTGGAGAGAGGAGATGGGCCTGTCCCTCTCTCTGTTCCTCAGTTTCCCTCAATAAACTCGCCCACCCCAAAGCTGCAAACGCCATGGGAACACACTTTGCAGTCTGACTATCCAGCCAACTCAGTGTTCAGACTCAACCTTCCAACTTCCACATAGATGCACCCTGGGGACCAAAGCCACACACACATCCCCAAGGCCAGCATTCTATCCTGCCCATGCCATTCCAGTCCTTGTGTTGTCATCTCCATAGATGGTATCACTAACAGGTCACCTGCCTACAACAGACACAGACGGCATTCTCCCCCCACCTCCCCGGCCCAGGGCTGCCTATTTCTCCCCTCTCAAATCCTCTGTGCTTCATGTTCTTCCCTTTCTCTGGCTTCTACCCTCGTCTAGACCACCATCCTCTCTCAGCTGGGAATGGTTTGGCCAAGATGCTGCCCACATCAACGCCGGTCTTCTCTACCAGTAGCCAGAGGGGGCTCATCTCACATTAAATCACCACCTTGCTTACCCTGTCCCTTGGCTTCTGCCGGCTCTGAGGACAAAGCCTACACTTCTCAGCACACTAAGCCTCTGCCCACCTGGCCTCTACCTCCCCTCTCCTCTCAGCACTTTTGTAACCCTTCCCAACTTTCTTTTCTCCTGTCTGCCAGGTTTGCCCCGCCCTGAGGGCCTGGTGTTCAGCTAACGCTGGTGCTTCCTTTGGACCCCTGCTTTGAAGTTGCTTCCTCTGGAAAAACACCAGCCTACAACCCTTCCCCACTGCTAATTTAGGGTCTCTCCCCCCATTGGGCCATTGCATGTGCAAGGGCAGGCAGGTGAGCCCCCAGAGCCCAGGTAGATCAGGCTCTGCCCCCTCCAGGCTACACTTTCCTCACCTGCCAGATGAGGAAGTTTTCTGATAAAAGAACATCTGGTAGACATTCAGCCAATGAGAGGGGTGACCAGGAACTGAATGGTCATTTACAGAATGGCCACAGAGGCAGTGACACTGCAGCAACCTGGTTTGCTCACTCACTTACCTGCTGCCTTGGGCACTCTGCCTCCCTCACACCAATGGGGGCTCCAGGAGAGCAGGGCCCAGCTGCCTTGTTCATGCCATACCCTGGACTTCCAGCACTATGAGTCTGAAATGATGGAGTAAGGAGTCTCCCGGGGAATAATTCCCAAAGGGAAAAATCCTTGAGCAGGGTCTGGACTCTAGGCAGTGTGCCCAGTAACCACAATTGGGGGCACTTCAGGAGGGGCATAGCATACCCAAAGCATGCATGTGGGGACCAGGAGGGCAGGAGGGTCTGGGAAAGGAGGCTGCCAAAGGATGCAGAGTCCAGGTTATGAAGATCCCAGAAGACTCGGTGCTGCATCCTATGCCCCAAGAGGAGCCCCGTGCCTGTATTTTAGAGAGTTCCTGCTTATGGTCTGAAGGGAGAGCACCAGAAGCTGTGCTAGAGATGGCAAGAGTCTCACCAGAAACAGACAAGGACAGAGATGGAGAGAAGCAGACAGAACCCAGAGCCATTCATCAACAGTGCAGCCCGGTATTCACTGGGGCCATGAGGTGCGGTGCGGTGCTGGCAGGCTGGGGACCCAGCAGAGCACAGCCTGCAGAGGCCCTGCAGTCAGCATTCTAAGGAGAGAGGACAGTGGACACAGCTTGGTGGCCAATGGGAGACTGTAGAGGAAGAGGAACGGCTGAGCAGGGCTTCCAGGCTGTAGCCCGGACGCACCATCTTTCTCTTTCCGGACGTACACTCAACCAAGCACCCTCAGCAGCCTCTGCCGCATTCCTCATTCTGGCTTTCTCCAAGTGTCTTCTGATGTTCTTGATTTTATTTTAAGCCCATTCTCTCTAGTTTTTTTAGAAGATGACTAATGTTCACAGATGACGGTAGTCTTTCTTCTTAAAGATATTTCAGATCCTTGAAAATGATAACTTAAGTCACTCTGTGGTCTTTTCTCGAGGGCTCTGTGTGGAGTCCCCTCCCCCCATGGTGGGTGTGGCAGAGGGCACGGCTGGATGGTCCCCACAGGGGAGCACGCTGGCACATCCCTGTGGGGATGCCTTAGACTGTGGGCTCTGCACAGAATAAAGACAGGCGCTGGACGGAGGTGGGGAGAGGAGGTGAGGATGATGAGTTAGTGCACCGGGAGGGCTAAAGACTGAGCTCAGCTCCTGTAGGCATGTGCCGTTACACTACTATGATGCCATTTCCTTGGGCTGAAAACCAACATAAACTACGACAATTTGAAAATTTACACCTTCATGCTTATGGGAGAGAAGAGTACATCTGCAGTTGAACTGTTCCTTGAATGAGCTGAGCTCTGTTTATTGAAATAATAGAAATTATGGAGACAAGGGGAGGGCACCTGCAGCTGTCTTCTCAGCTGAGTCTCATCATCAGCAACGTCACTTACCTGTGGGAGGCGAGAGGGTCTCTCTCCCCAACTTTTTTTTTTTTGCAGTTTTTGGCCAGGGCTGGGTTTGAACCCACCACCTCCGGCATAAGGGGCCAGTGCCCTACTCCTTTGAGCCACAGGCACCGCCTTCCCCAACTTACTGATGGGCTCTCGGCTGCTTTATCAGGGGTGGCCCTTTTCTGCGCTTCCCTGTAAATGCCTGTCCTCAATTCCAAATTGCACGTCTCCTATGGCTCCCCTTGAGAAGCCTTGGCACTAGGGATGACCCGAAATTGCTGTGGGACACGAGAAAGTGTTTTCCTCTCTCCTGGGAACCAGCAGCACTGATTCAATTGCACCTGGCCAAG